AGGGGAAAGGAAAAAAGGGAAAAGAAAAAATATGAGAAAAGGAAAAAAATGAAAACAAAGTCTTTGCAAATAGGAAAGGGTGAGTGGGGGGGATGAAGGGAGAGCAGGGGAATGGGGAAAAAAATAAGAACCAAGATACTCATGTAATGGTACAAGATCCTAATGATGAATGTAACTATATTTTATACCTAAAATGTACCAATAAACTTAGTGGGACCCCCCCCCAAAAAAACCCCCCAAATCAATAAAAACCTGATGCTGTCTTAGTTCTTCAAGTAACCTGATCAATCTCTGGACAAACTGGTGACTCCTTCCTGCTGAGGCCCCAGTGCAGCCAAGGTCCCTCCCACCCAGACCCCACTCTCATAGCTTAGCCTGTGCAGAAGTGCATGTGTTTGAAATATTTGGCACATTTTTGTTGCTACCATCTCTGGATCAAAAGATCCTGTCATCCATTATGAAGGCTGCACTACAATTGGATCTAATCCTTGCACTTAGCAAGAAGGTCTTTTTACACACATGAGAAAATTGTTGTCTGGACCTAGAATTTTACTGTTCCACTTACATCTCTTATCCCTTATCACCATTTGGAATTGCATGGGGAAAACTGAAATTGGAACCCATCATTGTTCATTTCAAAGTGTTATGAATACAGCCTGGAAAAAGAGAGAGCAAATATATCTTCGTCTAGATGTAGGTCAATCCTTGGGACACACAGAAACTGCCTTGACCTGGACCCTGAAGGCCATTGTCCTGAAATGAGATTCTTCCCAATCAAGTCTTCTGAGATTGGGTTTGTTCTTCAAGCTCTTCGACACAAATTCCTTGTAGCTTATTTATTTCATGCTGCTCAGCACATTTGGATTCAGACTGCAATTACGGGTTCACCTGAGCTAAAGTGAAGCTGCTCCCCAAAACCCAGTGTCTTATTAAGTTCTGACTTGCTCAGGATACCTAGAACACCGGCTGACATGGAGTAAGGAACTAATGCAAAGTTCTTTAGCTGGTGAGCACAACAGACTTTGGAAATCCCCTGAGATCTGCCACGCCCACCCCCATTAAGTCACTTAGAAGAGAATAACAGAGTTCTCTAGGTCACCATTATTAAGTAGAATCACTTTCTTTCTTGTCTGATTTTGCCATTTTCTGGTTGTAGTGCTAATAAATAAGATTCCAGACAGAGATTTTTCTTTTAAAAAGTCTGATTGTCATCATTATATTATTACTTTACTTCTTTATTATTTTATGATTTTTCTATATCAACAGAGCCTCTGAGAGGTGAGGAGATGTCCCTGGTGCCCTGCAGCTCTGGAAAAGGGACATCCTTTCTCCTGAAATAAGCACACAGAAGCTGCCCTGATGCATGTGACATGAGGGAGTCTTGGCAGAAGGATCTGTATGTGGCCCTGTGTGGTATGGACATGTGTGGATGCTCTCGAGTTTTACTAACTGGTTCTCTTTTTACTTCAGGTCAAACTACACTTGGAAGTGTTATTGGACAAACCCTTCTCTCCATGCCCTGGCATCCATCCTGTCTGAATAATTTGTTTCTCTTCTGCTGGGGAGTATCATTCTTGTCTACAGAAGAATGCTGCCCCCAAACGTCTGTCGCTTCCTCTGTGTCTCCCTGTGAGATCGCTGGCTCTGCCCTCTGTCTGAGCCATGATTTCCCACTGGCTCCAGCCCCAGTTATGTACTTCACCATGACTCAGAATCCTCATCTCTCATCTCTTCTTGGCAGCTGCACTGTTGAGAAGCCAGCTCTGCAGAGCCAGGGTGTGAAGCTGCTTCCTTGCCTGGCTTCCCTCATGTGGTGGGTGGAGGCACGATGCAGGCACCAGGCCAGGGGGGACAGAATCCCAGCATCATCTCCATACCACAAAATGCCCATTTGCATGTCCTTTCTTCTCCATGCACATCTGTTCTTGTTTATTTCTGGTCTGGAACATTGTCTGTCAGTAATAAAAACGTGAAGTCTTCTTTCACAACTTTAGTTGCATGGATCATGGGTCAGGGGAAAGGCCTAGGATTTTGGTAATGAGACCTGGCTCTTCTATGGGCTGCATGACCTAGGGTAAGGAGCCAGCTAGATTTAACAGCCTCTCCTGTTCTTATTTATATAAAAGAGATTCATAACTCTTCTTAGCTCTGGAGAGTAGAATTGTATTAATAAGCTCAGGCTGCCATAACAAAATAGCACAAACTGAGTGGCTTAAAGGACAAACTTTTATGTCTCACAGTTCTGGAGGCTGAAGGCAGGATGTTTGTAGATTGTCTGATGAGAGCTCTCTTCCTGACTTGCATCTTCTCACAGTGTCAGACAGCGAAGGGGAGAGGAAAGGAAGGATGAAGGGAGGGAAGGAGAGAGGGAGGGGGGAGAGAATCTTCTTATAAAGACACTAAACCTGTTGGATTAGGATCCCACTCTTTTTTTTTTGGTACCGGGGATCGAACTCAGGTCCTTGCACTTGCAAGGCAGGCAGCGGAACCACCGAACTAAATCCTCGGCCCAGGATCCCACTTTTAACCTTATTTATCCTTAATTACTTCCTTAAAGTCTTAGCTCCAAAGCAGTCACATTGGGGGTTAGGGCTTCAATATGAATTTGAGGGACGGGGACACACAATTCATTACAGAACAAAGATTAAATATGCAGTATGATTTACAATGGATTTTCCACTGGACTCAGTAGGGAGGAGGGACAGGTATTAAGAGACAAGGAGGGGTCCTAAATTCCACCTCCTAGTGAGTGGCTGTAGTCTGAAGTCCCCAGAAAGCCTTTGAGGTCCGCATCTCTCATTGCTCTGGCAATGATCAGGCCACAGCTGAATAAAAACCACAAGAAGGACTTGCTGAAGCCAGGTATGGTTGTACACACCAGCTTGGGAGGCCGAGGCAGGAAGATTATAAATTCAAGGCCAGCTAAGACAACTCTGTGAGACCCTAATTCAAAATAAAAAATATAATAGGCTAGGGGTGTAACTCAGTGTTAGAACCCTTGACTAGCATGTGTGAGCCCCTGGATTCAGTCTCAGTACCTAGAAAAATAAGTGGCCTGAGTGGCTTGTGGCAGAAGGCTGGGGAGATTGGATGTCAGCAAACCATGCCCTGTGCATTATTTTCTTTTGTTAATAACACAATGTCACAGTTATAAAGAAGATAAGCTGATTTTGGGTCATGATTTTGGAGGTCCAAGGTTGAGGGGCACCTTCTGCAATGGCCTTCTCGCTGGCAGAACCCAGAATTGGTGCAGCACAGGGGGCATGCGTGTGCCTATTTGTTTCTTCTGTTCTTTGTCCCTCTTCTTCCAAGGCCTCTAGTGTTCAATCATGGAGGCTCCACTGTGATGACCTTTTCAAATCCTAGCCACCCCCAAAGGCCACACTAAGCACCTGTGTAGGATTATGTTTCCACCCTCTCAGGACCTCACAAGGGGAATCACATTTCAACACAGAACCTTGGGGGGCCATGCTCAACCCACAGCCCTGTGTGAGGTGGGGGTCTGCTGGCCACAGCTGCAGCTTTCTCAGTCAGAATCTCCTTGGAGTACTCAGTCTGCTTCTGAGAAAAGTGCACAAACGCCCAAGTGTATTATCGTTTCAGGGGCCTCATTTTGTTAGCTTGTGAGCTTCCATCCATAGCCTGGAGGAAAAGGTTTCCAGAGAGGAACCATGATCATGGAGCTGGTGCGCTGTTCTTAACTCTCTTGGTAAATAAGATGAAGAGCAGGGTTCTTCAAAGGGAAGGCAGAGCATATTTTTTTTAATCTCAAGTTCTAATTTCTGTCTTCATGTATTCTTTGTAATATTCCAAACATATTGGCATTCTCGTACATGTGAATTTATTGCCAAACAAATATGCATGTACTTATGAATGCTCTTTTTTTTCCTCCTGATGGGGATGCACTGTGAAAATGTCTATAGACGAGTAAGTGGGGCGACCCATGAACGCTGGTTGGAGAGTTTTCTCTTCTCCTTTCCTCTTCCTCTGAATGTTGGTCCTCTGATGGGCTGAAGGCCTTTCTAAGCCTCCCATCAGTCCACCAGAGCAAGCACTACCTCTGGAGGCACAAAACTTTCTACCTTGGAGTCATTTAAGGATGCCTATCAATGTTAGGAACACTTGTTCTTTAATTTCACAAATTTCATGATGCTCAGGACCTTTGGGAATTATTTTTTCAACTCTGGAGTTAAGAGAGAAGAGATCTTTCTGCTGCACAATTGAATCTACCTAAGGCAACATTATATATATCTGGATAGTTCATGCTAGCCAGGGAATTCTATTCTTTTCTGTTTTTCCATGGTGTTCAAGTAAGGCTCAAGGAGCAGCAAGGGAAATCTTTAAAGATTCCTTTGGCACCTTTAAAGATTTCTCAATTATAATCTTATGGCTTGAAGGTTGTTGTTGTTGTTGTTATTATTATTATTATTATTATTATTATTGGTACTGGGGCTCAAACTTGGGACCTTGCGTTTCTGAGGCAGGCACCAGCACCACTGAGCTAAATCCCTGGCCCTTGAAGGTCATTATTAATCAAAGGAGTAACTGAAGGATTCTAATGCTATGCCTGAAATGACCCCCGCACTTACACCACCCTCCCCAAACAGGGTCAGTAGTTAAGCAAAGTAATCCCATTATCCTGGGTTGGGTCTCTGTCTCTGTCTCTCTCTCTCTTTGTCTCTCTCTCTTTCTGTCTCTCTCCCTCCCTCTCTCTGTATGGGTGTGAATGTGTTGGTGTGTATGCATGGGTGTGTTGTTCTTTTGCTTTAATATACAGATGAGTGTGATCACTACCAGCATCTACTCTCACATGTAACATCAACAGAGATGCACACTCACCTACTATAAGAAGGGCTGGAGACAAAGAAGTATGACTTCTAGCCTGGAAGACGGACCAATTCTGGGGACAGTTTGATTAGTTAGGAAGATCTGTTAGAATTGAAGAACTGTTATAATGAATGAAACTCAGTTAAGTGTCAATACACAAAATAATGAACAATTCTCATTTGCCAGCAACAACCAGACTAAATAAGGTAAGAGGTTCAGCAGAAAGGTCCTGGTCTTTGCAGAGATGAGAAGGACACATCGTTGTGCTCTGCTAGTACCTGGTCATCACCTTCTCCTGCCACAAGCCTGTCAGAGGTGCTGGCCCTTATTCCTTTCTCATGGCCTCAAACCCAGAGGCTGGGCAAGGAACCAGCCCCACCTCATGTCATTTCCTCACTTGACCTCTGTCTCCATCTCAAGTGCATTTGCCTTCCCAGCGCTCCACTTGGGAACAGCACTGAGAAGCCCTTGTTTTCTCCCAACTTGCTGGTTTATTCTGGGCTATGGGAGAATGGTTGATTCTGGGCTTCTTGACCATAGGTGGTTTGGCTCCAAAATTTTAACCCTAGTGGGAGATTTAGAAACTTTCTATTTAAACTTTATTCTCAGCTTTTTTTTTTAAAGTCAGGAAACTAGTAACTAAGTAACTAACTAAAGGGGATGTGTAAAGTAGGGTGAATGAAATTCTAGAGGTTGAAACAAATGTACACACATACTCCCACACAGGATGGTGCTTGTACTTGCAGACCATGTTTGTCTTTGAACTTCCTGGGATTGAGATCTACAAATAGAGAAAAAGGGGGAATAAGAAAAGGAAATGTTATTATTTTTGTAAGGTCTCATTTTTCAATTAATGGTTTCATAGATTTTTTTCTTAATTTCTAAGGATTTGAAATTATAGGAATAATACAATAGCATCCGGTAGTGTGGGCTTTTCAGGTGGGTAGGAAACTTCTAAACCAGTGTCCAGATCAGAGAACAGATTGGGATATGTGGAAGAAGTGCAGAGAACGTTGGATAATCTTGAGGGGGTTTTCTACCAATGTGTCAGGGGTAGAGATGGAGAAGGGAAAAGAAAGAGAGGGAGAGGGGGAAAGGGAGAGTGGGGAGAGAGAGGGAAGGAGAGAGAGGGAGGGAAAGAGAGAAAGAGAGAGGGAGAGAGAAGCAATTCATTACTCTCATCCTAAGAACCAGGGGTGATTGTCCAGGGTCTGAATATTCTTCCTTAGAAATATTCTGGAGAGAGAATAATTATGGTAGCCCTAGCCCTGCAGTTCTTTTTTGAGAATATGACTGTCTTCTAGCTGTTCTATTCTTTACTCTCCACTTTTAAAAGTAATACCTAGCTTGGAGCTTGTTTTCATATCTTCTTAGATCTATCCTGGTGACATTCCAGGAATGGCTTCAATTTGCTTAGCAATGGGTCCTCACATTTCCTTGTATGAAACATAATTTTTGGACCCACCCCCACCTCCCCTCCAGGACAGACTGGTGGTGTCACAGTGTCACAGGCAGGAAGGAGGGTTCTGATAGTGTTATCAGTGATGTCCACTTCTGCTTCTCCAACCTGGAGCCGACTCTGTTCCTCAGGGAGCAGAGCTACTAAGTGCACATTAGTGGAGATCAGTGGCTGCTAGCTGAAGGACACTATCAAAGCAATCACGGTGGGCTGAGTGGCCCCAGAGGCCAGCTTCTGCCTCCTGAGTCCTCCTTCCCCTGGGTCAGTGATTTAGTTATACTGGTGGGGCCCTCAACTTCCTTGTATGGCCAGAGAAGAGGAGCCAGAGAGTGGTGCCGGGCAGACAACCTGACCCCTGGGACAGGGGATGCTTTGGGCAGATTCCAAGGAGCAGGCCGGCCTGAGAGGGAGAGAAAGAGAGCACTTAAAATAGCCTCAGGCTGCTTTCCTTGGGCTACAAAAGCTGAGGTTCTGCAGCAAGTTGTGCGGGGCATGGAGATGTTAGTGTGGGCTGCATGCAGCCCCACACCCCATGAGTGGACTCCAAAACCAAGGCGGCAGGTGACCACCAATATTTTTTTGCTTAATGCAATGAAATAGAAAATACCCAGCTATTGCTCTGTGAAACTTATTTTAGCTATGTTGAATTTTGAGTAAAATTCATTTCTTTTTGTGATTCATGTTTTTAAAAAAATTTAG